AGGAAGGAAGGAAGGAAGGAAGGAAGGAAGGAAGGAAGGAAGGAAGGAAGGAAGGAAGGAAGGCTCTTTTCAAACTAATCAAGGAGAGAAGCAACTTAGAACTAAGGAGAAATTTCCTGACAGTTGGAACAATTAATCAGTGGAACAACTTGCCTCCAGAGGTTGCAAATGCTCCAACACTGGAAGTTTTAAAGAAGAGATTGGATAACCATTTGTCTGAAGTGGTGTAGGGTTTCCTGCCTAAGCAGGGGGTTGGGCTAGAAGACCTCCAAGGTCCCTTCCAACTCTGTTATTCTATATTCTAATGACAGGTCTACAAGGTAAAGGATAGAATAAACTGATCTTACTATAAATAAGAATGGCAGCTCAAGGTTACAAAATAGAATGTGCAGGTTGAAATGGGATCAAAAATAACCCTGGGAGAGACAGTGGCTGGTGTCTGATTCTCTTTGTCTATCTTTGTCTCTCATCTATCGTCACTGTTCATAATATTTTATTAGCCATTTAGAGCCTTGGTTTTGAGCAGCGTACATACTGTTGTAATTAAGTAAGTAAACAAATACATATTCCCTTTTTTTTAATTCAAGCAATCGATTAGCCCAAGACAGAACTGTTTCAGAAAGTGAACATTCTAACTTTGTATTTGGAGAAAATATAGTAGAAAGAGTTTTGGTAAGTATTAATGAATGCTTTAATACTAATGAATTTGTTAATGAATTTAAGTTTGAAGAAGGTTGTAGTCATTTGCATTTCCCATTGTTAAATTCAAATCTAGATGATCAGGAAATAACAGTTAAAGAGGGACTTTTCTCACTTCAGACATTTCAGACATATATTTCATAATATTTGCAATACTCTTTGTGACAATAAATTATCAGTTTAAAACTTATGAGTTTGGCTCTCTCCTAGGCTGCAAAAAGCATTTTATTCTAGTACACTGTCTAAACAGCACTTGATCCAATAATAAAGTTGATATTTCAAAAATGTATGAATAATCACTTCAGCTACACCAATCAGCAGGTAATAGCCCAATCCCACCCATTAAATATTTCAGCTGCTATTTTCTGCACACCTGTTGCTATTAAACCAGTAATATCTTCAACATTGTTTGGAGTTGAAATGTTTTGTGACTGCTTGCAAGGTCTCCAAGAATGGGAATCTCACCTGGGCAATCCTTAGTGATACTGACAGAGGAGAATATTTGAAATTAGGGGGACCTTGGTGCTTTCTAAACTTGGTTGTTTTCTTGCAGATGTGTCATTACCCAAACTAGGTAACATCATCAGTGCACAATGCAGTGATGATCTTAATCCAGTTTGGGTAATGAAACATCTGTGAGAAAAGGACCCCTCAACCCTTAGTAAAGCAGGGGTTTTGGGGTAACAATAATAATGTTTATTTGTAATATTTAGCTTAAGGATCGGCAAAGCCTAGCATCTAGCCAACTATATTCAGCCATGAGAAAAATCAAAGAGCATTCTATACAACTAAATGTGTGTGTGTGTGTGTAGGGGAGGAGGAATGGCAGAATGAGGTGCCTTCAGATTAGCAATTTAAAGAACAACAAAGGGATGGAAAGGGGCACAGGATACTTCCTTAATTTTTTTATCTACAGTCTATTGCCCCCTTGTGGTCAGTAGGTCCCATTAGGTGCTGAAAAGTCATTGTAATTCAATTCGTGTTTCCAACCAATAGAACTGCAAGAAATGGCACACCGTTCATCCATTAGGTAATTCTATAACTGGAAAGTATTTGCATTATAAATTCAGGATCATCTAATACAACATGGTTAAAATGCTTTTATTCTCAACATCCTAAATATACATTATTGGATATGCACATTTCTAGATGCCATGTAAAGTATGTGAATAATTGAGAATAGCCAAGTGTATCCAGAGAGCTGATAAATGTGTTACTTCATGGCTTCTTCCAATTAAATGAGAATTTATGAATCTGGGAATAAGTGTTGGAACCATATACCTTCCCCTTACCCAATTTGGCACAAAGATCCTATGCTGTATTAAGTAAGACATTAATGTTGCTTCTGACCCATGCATTTTAGACTATAGTATTGAATAGTTGAATAACTCCAGAAGATAGTAGAGGACAGGAAGGCCTGGAGGAACATTGTCCATGGGGTTGTGATGGGTTGGACACCGTTTTGCAACTAACAACAACAACAACAATAATAACATTGAAAAGTTTAGGAAGATTAACTAGGATCTTGGTATACGTAGTCAAGAACATCCATCTAAACACAGCTACCATGTTTCTCCAACAATACGGCCCCCCCAATAGAAAGACCCAGCATGTTTTCTAGGCATAAAATGAAATTAAGCCCCTCCCCCCAAATTTAGGCCTATTTTAAAACATGCAAAATTGGTGGGGGAGGTGGGGGGGAACTTTCTATGCCTCGCCATCAGCCGCTCCTAACAGCCGATCATGGCGAAGCACGGAGGGCTCCCTACCTCCACCAAGCAGCTTTGCTACAGACCCAGGTCAGCAGGTGGGTGGCGTCAGCATGGATGTCTGCTGGCAGTGTTTCAGCTACTTCTCAGGCCTTTGTAGCTTCCACGGTTCCCACTGGTGCTGGTGCCTCTCTCGCCAGCGCTGTCTCCAACAACAGTGTCTGAGTCGCTCCCGCTTTTCCCCCCATCCCCATAACAACAGGAAAAATAAACATTTTGAGATACCTGGGAGCGTCGTGCGCTGCGTTTTGGTTTAATCCGAAGTGGCTGGGTGGGCGTGAGAAGAGCCGAGCGAGCGTCTCTGCTGCTGCTACCCTTGGTGCTCCAGCCTCGGGCTCTGCAAGTTTCCAAAAGTCCCAGTGCGTAGCCCGTTCCTGCATTCCAAGCACACCCAGGCTGAGCTGCAGCTGTCCCTCTCTCGCCAGCACCATCTCCAACAACAGTAGCAGGAGCGGCAGGAACCATGGAACCATTTCAGCTGCTTCTTGGGTGGAGGAGCCACCTCTGTAACTTCCACAGTTCCCGCCGCTGCTGCCGCTGTTGTTGGACACGGCACTGGCAAGAGAGGGAAAGCTGCAGCTCAGCCTGGGCATGCTTGGAATGCAGGAACTGTCTGCGCACCGGGACTTTTGGAAACTTACAGAGCCCAAGGCTGGAGCACCAAGGGTAGCAGCAGCAGAGACAGTCACTCAGCTCTTCTCAGGCCCACCCAGCCGCTCGGGATTAAACCAAAACGCAGCACGCGATGCTCCCAGGTACCTCAAAATGTTTTTTTTCCAGTTGTTACGGGGACAGGGGAAAAGCGGGAGCGACTCAGATGCTGTTGTTGAAGACGGCACTGGCGAGAGAGGCACCACCACTGGGAACCATGGAAGCTATGGAGGCCTGAGAAGCAACTGAAACGCTGCCGGCGGACATCCCTGCCGCCCGCCTGCTGACCCGGGTCTGCAGCAAAGGCGCTTGGTGGAGGTAGGGAGCCCTCCACACTCCACCATGATTGGCCATTAGGAGTGGCTGGTGGTGAGGTGTAGCTGCCTGCGGGGTGCCCTAGGCGAGGGTGTGTGTGTGGGGGAGAAATTAATTCACCCCCGAAAAGACATCCTAGCCATTTTTTCGGGGCTCAAAAAAAAAAAAAAAGACCTGGCCTTATTATATGAGAAACACGGTAATAATGACAACTTTTGTTTCTACCCCAGATATTTAGCTTAAAAGATAACAGGATTGTGGTCATTTTAGTCCTCAATCTATATTTAAAGCAATATGGGCTATCTATTCAATGCACAAACATTTATATTAGATATGTTTTATTCTAGTAAGCAAAATAAATAATAAATGGTGGAATCAAAAAGCACCAGAATCTATTTACTGTTGATAAAATCTGGATCAAATATTCTAAAGAAAATTTCCACTTGACGTATATAATATTGCAAGATTTATTTTTTTTAAAAATCACGCTAACTTGCTTTATTAAAGACAGGATAGGAATGTACCCATCTCTCACTACCGTATGTGAGATCATGGGATTGCCACTTACTGCTTTAGTTCATGCAACAGACTGAACCTTAAGAACAGGTTAAACAAACTGCAGTTGTGTATTCACGTAACACGCTGTTCCAAAACAAATAAATTATATTATAGCCTAATAATGATGTCCTCCTGCACATTATTTAATACAATGTCTGAGTTCTCACAAATTACCTCATGCTATTTTAGCCTAGACTAGCCTGGCCTAGCCTGTGCCACTGTGTACATCACAATGCCTTTCACGTGTTTAAAAGTCCGCTCACAATGTTTTTGTTATCTTTCCAGACCTAATCGTATTTATTCAAATCAGATCTTTCTCCAATTTTCCTAGAAACCTGAGAAATCCCCGGAATTGCAGTCTGAGGATGGGAAGAATATCAGTGAAAAGAAACCTCTCTGTGCCCCAGATTTCCATACCATTCCCCCATGGGCAAGTAAGTTCTGTTTCTTAGAAAACAATGGCATAACATTGATGTTGCACTTTCATAACATTGTGTATGTGGTAATTGTATTAAGCACTGAGAACTGAGCCTTTCTCAACCAGAACTAGTTGACAGTTCCTGCAAAAATGCCTCACCCTCTGTCCCAGAGGGTGATGGGAGTTATAGGCCACACATCTACAAGAATCCAGAATGGAGATGGCTGATTTAAGGAAAAGCCAGACTTAGAAAGGAACATGTCATACATCATATCAGCCTACTTTGTCTTTCTAGCCTGATCAGTGGTGGTATTCAGTAGGTTCTGACCAGTTCTGGAGAACCGGTAGTGGAAAGTTTGAGTAGTTCGGAGAACCGGCAAATACCATCTCTGACTGGCTCCACCCCCATCTATTCTCTGCCATCCGTTGAGTCCCAGCTGATTGGCTGGGTCTTCTTTTGCTGCCCTGCACAGGAGAACGGAGCTGAAAAGCAGGTTAGTGGAGTGGGAAGGGAAGGGAGATTTTACAGTATCCTTCCCCTACCACACCCACCAAGCCACGCCCACAGAACCGGTAGTAATTTTTTTTTAATCCCATCACATTAGCCTCTCTATTTTATTTACTTTTCACGTTTCTGAACCACCCATCCTACTCAAAGTGTATTTTGTAATTTATTTCCCAGCCAAAAATGTTCATAGGCTATATTTAAAAAAGTCAAAATAGCACCTGCAATTGTGTGATTGTGTTCTAGAGGCACAATTCATACAAAAAAATGTAGGTGGAACTTCATAGACTCATAAAGCTGAAAGACCTTGGAGACTTTGCCCAAGGCAGGTATCTTCATACCTTCTCAGACAGGGATGTCCAACCTACATATATACAAGTGGTCAGTGATGGGATTCAGCCAGTTCACACCACTTTGGGAGAACTGGTTGTTAACTTTCTGAGCAGTTTGGTGAACTAGTTGTTGGAAGAAATCATTAGGGCAGAGAACCGGTTGTTAAATTATTTGAATCCTACCACTGAAGGTAGTCCTCGACTTTTGACCACAATAGCAAAATTTGTGCTGCTAAGCAAGACATTTGTTGATATTTGAATTATGTCCCATTTTATGACCCTTCTTGCCACAGTTGTTAAGTGAATCAGTGCAGTTACTACATTAGTAACACAATTGTTAAGTGAAACTGGCTTTCCCACTGACATTGAGGTCACAAAAGGGGATCATATGACCTCGGGACACTGCAACTGTCATAAATATGAACCAGTTGCCAACTATCTGAATTTTGATCACATGACCATCAGGATGCTACAGTGGTCGTAAGTGTTAAAAATTGTCATAAGTCACTTTTTTCACAGCCATTGTAACTTCAAACAGTCACTAAATGAATGATTGTAAATCAAGGATTATCTGTATATATATATATATATATATTGTATGTGTATGTATATATGTATAGAGAATATATGTAAATGTGTGTCAATGTAAATGTGTGTATACATATGCATGCACACACACACATATACACACACATATACACACACACACAAAAAACCCCACAGTTAATCCATCTAATCTCACCAGCTTCATTGCCACAGAGGTGTCTAATTCCATGTTAATAACAGCTAATTTTGAATTGAAGTCGATTTGGAGATAATGTATTTAATATCTATAATATTGATTACCGTTGTAAGACCTTTCTCACGTGGCAATTTCATCATTTTCTCTTCCTTACTTTCTTGTGGAATAGCACCTCATTGTGCTAAGAGTTCAACACTAGCAGAATCGGCTGCTGCTTACCTATCTAGCAAAACAGCACAAAGATATTTATTGGAGGAAATAGAAATCACAACAGGAGAAGAAGAGGAACACAACGTATTGCAGGTATATCTCCCTCTGAACCAGTGGTGGGATTCTCATTTTTAAACTACAGGTTCTGTGGGTGTGGCTTGGTGGGCGTGGCAGGGGAAGGATACTGTAAAATCTCCAGTCAGAGGTGGTATTTGTGATTCTCTGAATTACTCAAAATTTCCGCTATTGGTTCTCCAGAACTGGTCACAACCTGCTGAATATCATCTCTGCTCTGAACAGTTGTTGATGTACTGATTTAACACAGTGGCTTTATGGTTTTTGTAACAGTATGTCAAGAGAATGCTGCTGATTTTTTTTTATTGAAGCCAGTTACTGAATGAGGAATATTATCTCATTTTAGTGCTAGAGATTTATTTTAGTTCACTTGGTAACCACAAGTATCCTCAACTTACAAGTAGTCGTTTATTAGTTATTCATAGTTATTCACAGTTGCATTGGGCTCAACAAAAGTTATTTACATTCTGTCTTCAAACCTACGACTGCTGCACCATCCCCATAATGACATGATTGTATTTCGGACACTTGGCAATTGCCTTGCATTTATGACTGATTGCAGCATCTTCAGTCACATGATCATGTTTTGCCATTTTTTTGCCATTTTTCTGGTAAAAAAAACACCCATTGGTTAAGCTAGATTCAGATTTATGATCATGCAATGTGCTTAAAAAATTGCTTGACAACTTTTTAAAGAACTGTTGTAAAATTGAGTCCAGTCATATGTGAATCAACTTATAACTGCAATGTCTTATGATAAAAATCCGGACCTCAGTTATGATTGCAAGTTGAGCTCTACCAATGGTTAATATGCAACGTATCTGTCATCTGTTCCAAAGGTGCTTTTTCAAGAGGCAACTGGACTTTTTGGTTTTTCTGTGAAGATGTTTTGCTTCTCATCTAAGAAGCTTAGCTTAGCTTCTTAGCTTCTTGGATAACAAACAAAACATCTTCAAAGAAAAACCAGAAAGTCCAGTTGCCTCTTGAAAAAGCACCTTTGGGACAACCATGACCTGGATGACTGAGAATCTCCATAGACTTACCTGTCATCTGTTCTTTTTCTTAAACATAGCTTCCTCAAAAATTATTTAATGGAAACGATCAATTTTCATAGTCATCTAAATTCCAGAACAGTTTCTCAGGAGTTATCAAACTAGTCACACAAAAAATGAAAATACAGCCCATGTGCACTAAAAAGTATCAAAGCTAATCCACCTCATGTCAGGTCCTAAATTACACAAGACCACTTATATCTTCACGTTTCTGTCTTGTACACGTAGTGTTGTTTTAGAAAAATCAAGTGGAAACAAAAGCAATTACTTCAATGCTGAGCAAGATAATGTTCAGGAAACATATTTTCATTCTCCGTGTAAATCCTTTTGTAGTTGTTTAAATCATAAAACAAATCCAATTGTCTACAGGTGTAGCAGTTAGAACTGCCCAGGTTGGAAGCTTTTGTCAAAGAGCAAATGTTATGTTGACCAATTGTCTGAGACAGCAAGAAAGGGGCTGCCACACTCAACCTTTTGACAGTAAAAAGACAGAGTCACAGATTTTTACAAGGATGAGACTAGATAGTGCAGAAATGCTTAGCTGAGTCTGCATAGGAACTTCAATCTGGGTATAATTTATCATTCAGCTAAGGATCTGCATAGTGAAATCTGCTTTTTCATACACAGGATTAGGATAATCAGTCATGCTTGTTAAGTAACACTTTTAGAAAAAAAAATTCATTTAAAAAAAAACAAAAATGACTCGTAAAGCAGGATTTTTCTTGTATTGCCATACAAGAACAAGAAGGAGATTAGAATTTTGCAAGTTCACAAGTAACCATCTTCCTCTAAGAAAGGGGTGATTATTTTATTTCAATTTCTGATAAGAAATTCTATTCTTCCCTTCTTTTTAAATGTCTAAGTAGTAAACATGCAATATTCAGTTTAGATCTTTTAGCTGTCATTTTCCTCTTTTTTAATTGATAGCAATTATAGAAATAGCCTAGAAACCAGTTGACCATTGTTATTAAACATTTCCTGTTGTAGAAATAATGATAATGATGATGATTTCTTCTGTCTTAGATCAACTGCAGGCTTTTTTTATTTAATAAAGCCCTGTTATGTTGGACTGAAAGAGGCAGTGGTTGTTTGAGACTCAATGATACCTCCAGCAATCAGCATGGAATGCTTCAGTCAAGACTGGGTAAAAATTAATTTTACAATTCTATATATAAATGTTCTGGATTCCTAGGAATCATATGGATGCAACTATATAGTTTTTTCAGTCAACAAGACCAATTTTGGTTTATCACAGTCTTTCTTTAGGATTTGCTTTGACTTCTCAGTCTAGCCTACAGTGTGATACTTTCTGGAGGTCTCCCATGTTACACATAAACTCATTTATTAGAAAATATGCACATACAATCCATCTGCAAAAACATATTACCAAAGTATTAAATATTTTAAAATCACATTTTAGCAGGGCTAACTATTAAAACCATAGTTCTGAAGAAGAGTGCAAAGATTAAAAAGTCAAGATAATCCACATCCAACAATAGCCTTTTGGAAGTCCTAAGTTGAACATTAGGGAGCCCTTCCTAGGGAGCTTTTTAACAAGAGATTGGACAATCATTTGTTTAAAATGGTATATTGTGTTTCCTGCTGAGCAGTGGGTTGGACTAGAAGACCTCCAAAGTCCCTTCCAACTCTGTTACTTTGTTCTCTTGTTCAGTTATTATCAGTTTGTCATCTCTCAATCCTTCACACCATAGTTTGGCTTGGATCTGGTTGTTATATTATGCAGGTTTATTCTACAATTAAAATGGTTGGCCAAATTTGTAGAGAATCACTGGCCAAGTCAAGAAAAGAATCAACCAAAAAGGCTCATTTGCTCTCCTTTCAACTTGACAAATAACTTTAAACCACTTAGAGCAGGGATGTCAAACTCAATTTCATTGAGGGCCACATCAGGGTTGTGTTTGACCTTGTGGGGGGATGTGTGTGTGTGTGTGGCCAGAGTGGGCATGGCCAGCTCAACGTCACTCATGTCAGGGCACCTATGGTGGCCTGAGCACTCTGCCAGTGAAAACAGGGTCCTGAACTCTGTTTTCTGCTGCAACCCTCTGCCTCCTGCAACCCTCTGCCAGTGAAAATGGAACTCGGGAGGGCCACATGTGGTACTCCCAAGCTCTGTTTTCACTGGCAGAGGCTCCACAGGCTAGTCTGCTGTTTCGAAGGCAGTCCCGCAGGCCAGATCTAAATACCTCAGAGGCCTGATCCAGCCCATGGGCCCTTGACTTAGAGAGTGTTGTAAAGCACTATGAAGTGGTATATTAATAGTGCAATTACTATTGCTATGCTGCTGTGCCTGGTCAATGCAGCTATGTACATATGTACTGAACATAAGAAAGATATATTTGCTGCAAGTACTTTGGAAGCTGCTAAATCTACATTCATAGAGAAAGTCTCCTTTGTCTCTTTCATTGGAAAAAGCAGAAGCCCTTCGGCATCTTGAGAGTGAGTAATGGAATTTCCCAAAATTGCTAGGAAAATCTGCTTTAGGTCTAATATGTTTCAGTTTCCTTGCCTACTTTTTTGATATTGTTTCTTGTGCTTGCAGTCATGCGAAATCAAGGAAGCATGAGGCTTATTCTTAACACCAAGCTGTGGACTCAGATGGTGATAGAAAGAGCAAACCGGAAGAGTGTGTGCGTCACAGCAACAGATCTGGAGGATGGTTCCGTCAAAGTTTTCCTAATACAAGTAAGAATAAGAATCCGATGGTTCCTTAGCCTCTTGAATAAAACCTGAATAGCTGGAAAATACCCAATTCAAAGATCTGAGATATTCATTGGATTGGTGGTGGTGATGATAGCAATAGCAATAGCACTTAGACTTATATACCACTTCACACTGCTTTCCAGCCCTATCTAAGTGGTTTACAGAGTCAGCATATTTCCCCTAACAATTCGAGTCCTCATTTTACCCACCTCGTAAGGATAGAAAGCTGAGTCAACCTTGAGCCTGGTGAGATTTGAACTGCCAAATTGCAGGCAGCTGGCAGTCAGCAGAAGTAGCCTGCAGTACTGCACTCTAACCACTGTGCCACTGAGGCTCATCCTGTGTGATCCTAGAAAAGGATAAGATATTTAAGTTTTTCATTTTAATTTGATTTGACACTTTGATTTTCAAAAGTTTTTTTTTAAACTATTAGTTGAACCAGAAAATATTTTCTGGACTTTTATCAATATTCTGCAGCATTCCTTTGCACACTACTCCAAAATATTCCTGCCCCCCCCCCCGTTTTTTTTTTGACAGTGAAATACTGGCAAGAAGTTACGAATGCCTTCATTTAAGAAGCAATAAGACACACAAATAAGAATACATGTGACATTTTAGATGTTTTACTTGTTACTCAGTTTGTATCCTAAAACTGCTTTGTGGAAAACCTGAATAATGGTAATTAGTATACAAAATACAGTACATAAATAAACAATAGAGCTTTTTCTTTAAAATAATCTGTTGGGCTAAGAGCTGCTTAACACTACCTAAAGATGTTCTACTGTGTTATTCTAAGTCAGTTTTTCTTAAAAAGTTACCCTTTCAAGGGCCTGCAAAATTAGATTTATTTCCCAGCCTCTGTTGAAAAGTAATACAATATTAGAATCCCATCAAATAATTGTGAAAACAGTAGTAGAAGCAAATGCATCAATTTTCGTTTTTAATAGAGTTACCCATACAAACTAAAGGTCTTTTGGGGGTCTCCTCTATAATTTTTAGAGTTGGGAAGGAGTCTTGAGAGAAAAAGAGTTTAAGAAATACTGCTCCAAACCATCCAGAAAAGGCTGGTTTTTGAGTACAGATGTATTTTAAAAATAAAAAATAAAGTACAGTGCAGCAAATAGCAAATGATATTTTGTTTGACAGATAAAAAAAAGACAGCTGATGGACATCCATATGTTCCAATTTCATGGCATTTCTCTGTAAAAATGATGGTATTGGACTTACACTTCCGCTTCCACCTTGATCTTATAAAGCAGGGGGTCTCCAAACTTGTCAACTTTAAGACTTGTGGGCTTCAACTCCCAGAATTCTCCAGCCAGCTGGCTGGAGAATTCTGGGAGTTGAAGTCCACAAGTCTTAAAGTTGCCAAGTTTGAAAACCTCTGTTGTAAAGCATTACAAGTTTGCTGTTTAGAAGTCTCTGAATCACTCAGGAGTCAGTCACTTTCTCTTATTGCTACATGGCTCTTCATTTTTTTTTTCCTTACTGCTTGTTCAGCTTTTCATTGATGCTCTGGAATACAACACCTCATGGGTCCATGCTTTCTGTCTATCACATAGGCCAGCACAAAGGACATTGAATCCCTCTATGCAGCCATCCATCACCGTCTTGTTGCTTTGAAAAACTTTACAAAACAGGAATGTGGTATAAATCAAGCGGAATACAAGCTAGATGTTCAGCCAATATCTTGTGACAGCGATGATGAAGAGAATGAAAAAAGATCTCCAGGGAGCAACAATAGATCAGGTTAAAAAAAAAAAAAAGCTTTCATGAGATTGACATAAACTTTGGTTCATGCAAATTATAATTCAATATTTACTTTCCTAGAATATAGCGGGCTAAGTTCACTGCAGGAAGAATTGGGGAAAATATTTCTGCTGCTGCTTAGCTTGCAAATCTGGTTGGATAATATAATGTTTAAGGAGCAGAAAGGGCACGTTTCAAAGGTTAGAAACTCACACATTTAAAATATGAGGTTCACAAATGGCAGAGTAAAATTGGAAAAGGAATTGTTATGGGACTGTCTGCATTATTGTTAAATATAACATATACACATATCTACAGAGAGACAGATAAACACACACATACAGGTTTACCACAAGAAAAAGACAGAGGGGAGGTGGGAAAGGAAGCAAAATCATACTCCAGATTTAGTAACTAGACAGAATAGGAACTTCTTAGGAACTGGAAAACCAGTTGGACAGGTTTGCTCTGGTACCTTCAAGCTGATAGGCAAACACTTGTATTATTTTGATATGAACGTTTTAACACGGTAATTTGCAAATAATCTCACTATAGTTTACCCTTCCAATCTCCAGGGTCTTCCATAGGGGTCAGCAGCTTCAACTCTGCAGCACTTTTCCACAACTATGTGAGCATTCTCACTGCTCACCCCTTCTACCCTGTGCTCTGTTCCCTCCAGCAAGTCCATAGAGAGGGTAAGGGAGCAAAGCAATGGTAGCTAGGTGGTTGCAACCAATTTGGAGCCTTTTGCATAAGAAGAGAAAGGGGAAAGTACTCTTCCTCCAACCAGTTGCTGAGCAATGGATGGCAACCATATTGTCTAAGAAAGGAGTAGGTAACTTTACGACCTGTGGACTTCAACTCCCAGAATTCCTGAGTCAGCCATGTTAGGACAATTGGGAAGATAGTGGGAACATACCAACACGGAACACTGAATAATAGGGTTGGAAGGGACCCTAGGAGTTGGGGAGAAATTCTAAAGAACCAGAAGATAGGATGAAGGGGGAATTTCCTTCCATGGTTGCCGAGAAAAGAACTTTAAACTCTTTTCACAATATTTGTCTGGAGCAGTAGCTCAAGCAAGAATTCCACTTTTGAAAACCTAGGCTAGCCCCTCTGTATTGATTAGATACGAGCATGTACCAATGCAAATGGAAAAATCTCATCAAACTTTGTGTTCTACTATCTCTAGAAAGCTGATTCATGAGCACCTGTGATAGCCACTTGTTTAATATCCGGCTGTTGGCCCCCCACTATGCCCAACTGCTGTACCTATAAACAGATTTAAATATTTTAAAAATGGCATAACATCTCCAAGGATCCTTTTGTAAAAGAAACTTGACTTGGATATGAGCAAAATCCTGGAATTTCTTACCATTCAATAATTGGATTGTGGATAACAAAAATTACTTTAAATTCTTTAAATACTCTTGGCAAAATAACTTAGATTAGATTACCAGCATTATTTAGATTGTTGATCCCTGTTAAATCAGGACTTTTATAAGAGATTCCATAACTTCAGCATCTGCTTTTTGCTTTCATGCACAATACTCCAAAGTTTGCTTTTTTTAAAAGTGCAATATTCAGGTTAATAACTTTTTAATTATCCTGAATTTATTTTAAAGGTCATTTCTATTAGAATCCATTATGCACTTATGGCTATATTGATCTGTTCTAGGCATTGAGTATTACCTGCTATAAATAGTTCTTATGGATAGTAAAATTGCAAACATATAAACAATTGGCTGCTCACCGGGTACTATTGAACAAAAATGGAAGAGAAAAGATAATGATAGCAAATTGGATGGCTGTAAAGGAAGCCCAGAAGATTGTACCAAGTCATCCCTCACGTAGGCAGAAAGGAAAACAAAACATAAGAGGGGTGAACATTATTTTGTTATGTAGGATATATTATTGAATCTTTGTAGTTGGTGAAATTGGGTTGTTTTCTTCAACTTCTTGTGAACTTTCCCAAATGGGATGAAACCTAACATTCAGAACACTTATAAGGGAAATTTATCCTCTGGTTCCAATTAAACTTTGCTCCAAAATCCAGCCCTCTGTAGTATAATACCTTCTTACAAGTGATTATAGTGAAGGTGTCTTATGGATAATGGAACTATCTATCAAGCTGGCATGCTAAACCCGTTGTGCAATTTCATGGCTTAAATCAGGATTGTGCAATGTATTTTATAAGTGCATGAAGAATGAGCAAAATGAGGAAATCCTTAGGTTATGAGGCTTGAAGGAAATACTTACAAAATATCATATGTTAAAATATTTCCCTGTAATATTGGCCCCAGTCTTCCTAGCAGAATGAACATTTCCAGAGAATAATGCAATTAACCCTACTTCTTCCTTGTCACAAGATTTATTTATTTTAATTTATTTTATTTTGTCAATCACTTACAAGATACTAGGTATAAGTATAAACATGAGTAAGAATACAGGAAATAGGTACGAATAAATGGGGACAATAGGACAGGGACGGTAGGCATGATGATGCACTTATGCACTAATACTGTCTTCCCTGATGTGATATCCTGGATTTAGTGGAACCACAACAGAAAGCTTAAACAATCAGAAGAGCATCAAAAGAGCAGTGTTGAAGAACACTGCAACAGGATGTGTATAGAATAATAGTATTAGTGGTAATAACACTGGCATTGATGAAATCACCATCAGTCAATTGAAAATGGTAGCTTGGAAAGAGCTTGCTTCCTCTGACAATATCTTTAATGCCATCAAATAACAGCCTAACCCAGGTCCTTGGAAAGGACTCGATAGGTGGTTAGAAAAACCAAATCCAGTCTAAACACCTGGCTGACTATGTATCTAACAACAACAATAAAATCAATATAACTATGATCGGGATGGGAAGATGATGATAATCTTTCATTTCCTAATTCTCTGATTCTCAAGTGGAGACGTAGAGAGATACCATTTGATTGTTACTCTCTTCAGTTTTCTCAAATTTTCATCCCTCTCTTTGTCTTTGTCTGAAACTGTTGGAACCTAGAACTTGAGGTAGGATTTTGACCAAAGCAGAATAAAATGTATCAATTAGTATATTATGGTGATATAATCTAACTGTATTTGACTTTGTTTTCAGCTACAATGCTGCTGACAACATTTACCTTATAATCAACTACAATTTCAGGATTTTAAACAAGTACTGTTGCCAATACACATAATCCCTCCTTCTACATGTGCATTTGATTTCTGTCTGTCAGATTTTTTTCCTATTGTTCACAACCCATTTTGCAAACCTATCACGAATTTTGAATTTTGAATTTTATTTGTCTTCTGCAGTATTAATTTTGTGACATCTGCAACTTTGATATCCGTTCCTATCATCTTCTCATCCAAATAATTGCTACAAATCTTACCTCGTTTGTATTTAATTTGCACCTTCATTTTACAACTGTTATATGTCAATATAAAAGCTGAAGTCACTGCAAATGTCCTCCCATGTAAGTGTGCATTGCAATACAACCTTCATTATCTTGGCATGTTGTAATTTTTTGCTCCATTTATGCTGAGGGTATTTGCAATTGACCTTTGTGTCCATTTGTTTTACTTTGAAAAATGCTGCACAAATGAGATAAAGGGAAATGTGTCCCAGTGCTAAAGTTTAACTTCCTTTTTGTTCTCTGTGCATGCTCTGTGCATGATTCATTTTGGTCTGATTGCATTGGAGACAATCTTCTGGAATGTTCTTTGGCATCAGCCTCATTGAAACATCTGGGAGCTGTTCAAGAACAGAAATTAAAAAGCTTTCATTTAATAAAGACCTTTGTCCTCACTTTTTGAGTTTTCTAACAGCATTCTATAATTTTTTTTTTCTCTAAACATCATATAATGTTTGTGTGATAGGACAGACAGCATTTTTTATGAATTTTCTGTCATAAACATCCTTTGTCTTAAATATATGTGAAACAGTAATCCTTTCATATTTGGGAACATCTGTGCAAACAACCAATTGTTTTAAACCATATTTTATTTATTAAACTACTAAGTAAATAAGAGTTTATTGATTAAACTCTCTTATTAATTGCCATAGTCTTAGACTTCAGTCCTAATAGACTTGAATGGATACCCACTTATTCATTTGAAGGGAAGCCCGACCATGCCGGTGGAGAGCTGGTTGGCTAGCTGGAATGTGTCCCATTTGTATTTATCTAAATGTAAATTTCTGCTCCCCCCGCCTCCAAAAAAAAAGGGTGTGTGAGAGGTTGAGATGTTCTGAATCAATATTCTTCAAGTTAAATCTGAGAGGTTTTAAGAAAACAAATAGAACAAGTGGCTACTTTTTGGAGTTGGCATTATACTTAGCAGCATTTGAAAAAGAAGGACATTTTGAGGTCGTTTTGGGCAGAAACTGGGGTTCTATTCTTTATTGTTCACCTGCATTATCTAAGTTAAAGCATTGGGGTCCACATGCTATTTATGACATCTTCAAAAGAAAACAAGAGGCAGTTTGCAGTTTTTGGAACAGTTCTAAATATTTATGACCTATGGACTTATTTTTAGGAGTAAATTGTATTGATCATGACAGAATTTACTTCAACATAACCACGAAGATAATTGTTCTGGCATTGTTGGGTCGGTAAGCATTGAGAATTGAGCTTTAGATTTTCAAACTATAGAGACAGATTGATCTTTCTCAGATTCATGCCCTTCAGACAGATTGGAGTAAAAAGCCTGCATTATTCCCAGACGTTTGTAGAAAAATACGAGAACTATAATCCAACCTTCTGTGGGGATATCAGATTGAAGAATGGATTTCTTTAATCCATGTCCACTTCAATCAGTGTTCATACCAAACCATTCCTCTGAAATTATTTGCAGAGGAACATAATAAAAGGCTCAAATCTGTTTATCGAGTGGAATGCAATATCCAATCTGTGTGCTGATTTGCAAGTTAAACAATTGGTTGACAAGCAAAGGCCCTTGACCCAGATTTGGAAAAAAGAGATAAGGGTTACTGGGCAGTGATTGCTAAGCT